GGAGGAACTTCTCCCAAGAGCAACAGGAAATTTGCTGCAAGACAGGCATATGTAACGATGACTAAGCGCAGCAAAACTCGTGGCTTATAATACTCTGAACTACTGACAACAGGCCAGCGAAAAATCTAACAATCTACGGCAAAACCATCAATTATTATGGGCGTTATAACATAGGTGTGCAGCTGGACGAAACATTGACGTCAAACCCCCGCAGACGATTTAAATACCTTGACGAAACATACACGTCAAACCACGCTGAACGGTTAAGCGATAAAGTGGTGCCTCTAGACTTGTTCCATGCTGTATCAAAATGGATCTGATTTTGAAGTTAACTTCTCTGCTTCTTAACTTTTATATTTCTTTCATTAATATAAAAAAGTGAGGTTTACAGCAACATGTCCATGTGCATACATCTGTGTCCCACTGAAACATCTGGGCATCTGATATCAGCCAACATACAACTGGTGGTCATATCTAAGTGGCCATGTAATTACTGCTGTAATTATTGTAGGTCTATGAAATAAGCTACAATGATAGATAATGAAAGTTAACAAATTTGGCACTGAACATTTTCCTTGATGCTGAAAATTAGAAGCATAGAGATGAAACGTTTTGAGGCTATATCTGACAATCTTCAGGTACCAGAGGTCTATACAATTTGAAACTTTTGTGTATACATACGAGGGGGTACCCAAAAGAAACCGAACTTATTTTTTTTTTAAACTTATTTTTTCAAATTTTAAGCACAAACCTTCAATCCCCTTCAAAGTACTCTCCATTTACACTAATACACTTGTCTAGTCTTTTATTCCATTTTTCAAAACATTGTCTAAATTCATCTTTTGAGATGCTTGACAGCGCCTCCATCGTTTTTTCCTTTCATGTCTCTTTTCATTCGAGGAAACAAAAAAAAAGTCACACGGGGCAAGGTCGGGTGAGTATGGAGGGTGAGGAACAGGGGTCATACCATTTTTGGTCAAGAATTGTTGTACAGACAGGGCTCTGTGAGCAGGGGCATTGTCATGATGGAAAAACCAGTCACCCGACTGCCACAAATCTGGCCGCTGAGCTCCAAGTCACTCTCGACAGCTCCAGAATTTCTTCAATGGCCCGTCGTCGATCTTCCTTGATGATTTCACGAATTTTTTCAACATTTTCATGTGTTCGGACCGTGGAAGGACGACCAGAATGAGGTTTGTCATCAATTGACATTTCACCATTTTTGAAACGGGAAAACCACTCAAACACTTGAGTTTTCCCCACAGCATCGTCCTTGTACGCCGTTTTTAACATTTCAAGAGTTTCTGTTCCACTTTTCCCGAGCAAAAAGCAGAATTTCACCGCCGCACGCTGTTCACAAAAATCAGCCATTGCAAAAACGACGATCACACAAAACAGTTGTCACTATAAACTCTGCCGAAACTAGTCCTTACCTTCTGAAGCAATGGTAGTCGGCTTATCGACTCAGCAATGTTAGCTCTATGCACTCATAGCGGCAAAACACGGTACTACAAAAGCTCTGCCCACAAAAAAATTAGTTCGGTTTCTTTTGGGTACCCCCATCGTACATGCACATAAGTGCACACACAAACACACATTACTTTCAAGCATTACTGTTCATAGTGCCCATGCTAATTAACTTTCAGGACTCTCATATATTCAGATAATTCAAGCTACAGGTCTATAATGGTATCTAAAAATGTATACCTATCATACTGTTTGCACAAATATCAGGAGGACTTCCAATTGTGCAGAGAGCAGGACCATGGTTTCCTGCCGAAACAACCCACACCACACCATATTTGCTGATCACCTCATTCATCAGCTCCCCAATCCGGCTGGAAGAAGAAAATTAAGCTGACAATACACCCATAAAGTATCACTAAGGCCAGCGTCTTAGAGATGAAACTTCATACGCTTTTACTGTGTGAACATATTTTGGACAAAATAGCAATTTGAGTAAATTTATGATTATGAAAACAAAATGCAAGACAGAAGGCACAGAAAATATAAAATGTAGTAATTATAAAATAAAGTGGAGAGTGGGAAGTGAAATAGTGTAAAATGGATGAGTACAAAAGGAAATTATAGAGAGAATAAAAACTAAAGTAAAATATTATTATTTTAGTTAGTGACATGCTTTGAAAATGGGAAATGCTTAAGATAGGAAAATTTATTACATGCCTGTATTAATGCAAGGAGCTGAAATGTGGATATGGACAAAGGCAGATGTTAGTTAACTAATGGCAGCTGAGAGAGACATTTTTAGAAATACAGAAGGAACAACTAGGGGGGAGAGAAAGAGAGAGAGTAAGAAACAAAAAAAAAATAGAGACAATCTAAAGTTAAAAGTCTTGAAGTTAAATAAATACATGACAGAATGAGATGGCATTGTCACATTCTAACTCTTTTAGTGCCACCACTGTGACTGCATATTTTACCACTGGCTGAACCATCGGCTATGGTTTTTACATGTTTGTAACTTCCACCTTGTTCAAGAAACATCAGAATTGATCATATCGACATATAGCAGGAATATCTTCTCATAGTTAACATCAATATTTCTCACTATCAATCCATAGTCAATTTGTAATCAATTTTCATCTAAGGTCATCTGTAAAGAAATTCTGTTTGTGCAGTGGTCATGCAAAATATTGTTGCATGTTGCAGTGATCACTTAAAATTTTAATCTAATGTGAACAGGCTGCAATAACATGGCTTATCTTTGGATAGGAGACAATGAAACTGAACATGAATTTGTGGAAAGCGATAATTAATGAAGTGATAGTACTGATGATATATCATCACCAGAAGACAGCAAGTGCATACCTCCCAAACAAAGGAGTCATGTGGCCGCGCCATAGCTCAAGCAGTTAGTCGCTGGCTTCCCACTGTGGTGGCCCAGGTTCGAACCCAGGTCTGGTCAAGTGGGATTTGTGGTGGACAAAGTGGCGCTTGGGCGGGTTTTCTCTGAGTACTTCAGTTTCCCCTGCCAATCTCAATTCCACTAAATTCTCCATCATCATAATCACCCAGGGCAGGCTACAATAGGCCAATCAGTGGCCAATGTGCTGAGTGGACCCATTTGAACTCCACCCCCCACTAAATGAATTAGAATAAAAAGAGTCATGTGACTCCACCCATCTTATGTCTCTCTTAACATCAATGTCTCAGTGATAGGAATAGTAACCTTGACATATACTGGGAAGAAGCAGTTGACAATAACAACAATCAGACCCAGACAAACTTTCAGTACCAAGGATTGCAGGGACCTAAACATTCAAATTCAATACCTGTAACATACTTCTATCTATTCCTCACTACAACATTTCTACACTCCACTGTGAAATACACAGATATGCACGGCAATTTCTTCATATCCATACAAATCTTTCTCCATGCATGAGGGCAAATAAGTGGAGAAATGTCACTTCAGGAGAAATAAAAGTTTTCACTAAGTGCCTGCTCAACATGAACATAAACAAACAATCAACCATTACATAATATTGGTTTATGACCCCTACATAACACATTCCCTAGTTTCCTTGGACATTTTCATGAAAATGAGTTCAGCTGATGATGAAATGTTTATCATTTACTTGACAACGGTAATTAATGTGGCCTTCGAGAACCTGGATATGATCCCCATGCAAAAATTCAGCCACTCTCTGACCACGTAAACAGGGTGTGTTCACGCCATAGCATTTCTCACCAACAAGGCATTCATGAAAGTACAGTGTGGGGGAAAAGTCACACAAAATTGATCCAGTATTTATGCAATAAGCATCACCACTGCAGGGGTAATACAACTTTGGAAGCTGCATTGCATTACTGCCTGGGCTTCTCTGTATACCGAGAAGCTAAAAACAATGAAGATCAAGCTGAAATTCAAACATGTGGTTTGTCATACACAGTAATAATTAATCTACTAATGACAGTGCATTACCTCTCAAAACAAGCCCATGAAGTAATCTGAATATCATTGTTGGATTGTAAATTCACATTACCCAGGTACAACATCAAGTACACAAGATTTGTAGGATTAGAAGTCAGTGCAATAGGAAAGTAGGCCTTATGAGTTATAATTGGAACTCGATTGTTCACACTGACATTACACAGTACAAACTTGGAATGTAAGACACATACCCAGAACTAGAGAAGTGTGCATGTTCCCCATAGCTCATGTTAATAAGATGGATCTTGCTGGTTTTTGATAGCTGCATGACTCTAATCATTGCTCGCACCAGAGCTGTACCAGTCTCCATGGAACTCAACCGATTATCACCTGGTAACAGAACACTTGTACATACCATACAAACAACCAGAAGAGTAAGAAGGAAATCTATGGACCATCACAAACTGTCCATGTAATCATACAGTACTGTACATTGCCTCTTATGCTAAATATCCTGAAACTGACAAACTTCACACTGTAGGGTCTTCCCCCAGAAGTTACTCTACTGGTCACAGAAGTCCCTATTTTATGGAACCTCAAGGTTCATTACTGTATTTTATAAAGCCAACAAATGGATCACATGCTGAGCCAGGTGAATCCAGTCAGTACTTCCACACTTTATTCCTCTAAGATCTGATTTAATGTTATCCTCCTTTCTATGGATAGGTCTCTGGAATGGTCTCCTATATTAAGGTTTCCTTACTGTTCACACCCTTCAGAATTAAGATGCTCTTACACATCTCACAACAAAAATAAGCCCCCTTTTTCTTTAATTTTGAACGCTGTATTTACTGTCTTCATGGGAAATCTAAAATATTTCACTAATTGTAGTCTCTGGTCATTTTTAGTGCTTCAAAACAAAAATTAATTTTAGAATTTAAGTATTCTTTCATGTGTTATTTCACTCACACATATGACTATCATGAAAAATCTGTGAAGTTTTGAAAAGAAAGCTGTTGGACCATACACACACTCCCCTCAAGGTGGTTTCACAGGCAAACCACTGAGTCAGTACCTAAGAAATCATAACTGCAAGTTCACAGTTAACCAACAAACTTTCAAGAAATTAATCTAGTGCTAAATTCAGAATGAAACATTACATTAAAATAAATCAACAAAGATGCAAAAGATAGATAAAACACTGTGAGAAGATGATAATGACTACTTGAGAAAATAAACGGTTTCTGGGCTTATAATTTTGGTCTGATAATTGTACAACATCTACAGAATCCCTGACTTCTGTGATTATCACTCTCCCTTGCTACATAGCAGTGTTATGCATTCTGTGAACAATTACCAATAGTTAATGATATTATCTGTGCACCAGGAGCCATTCCATTCCTCTCAGGACTGTCAGGGAAGTATGCTGCTGCTATGGAGGCCACATGGGTACCATGACTTGCTGAAATACAAAACACATTCAGCCCTAAGTATCTGAGAGAATGACTTTATCCTCTGCCTGGACAGTTTTGGTACAACACATACTTCTTTAAATGAAAGTAAAATGCTCAGAATTACTGGGTTTTTCAACTTTGTTCACTGTCTGGTATTCTAAAAACTAATGAACACAACGTTTTGGAAACTGGATCTGTTTCTGTCCTCACATGAGGAGGGAAACATCTACTCTGTGGGGCCCCTTACAAAGAGCAAATCCCAATTACTGGACAACCCATATCAGCATAACTACAGCTGCATAAGCTGCAACTAGGCCACAGGTGTCCCCCTTCTCACCTGAAGACCAGAAAATCAAGTTTCCAAATCACTGTGTTCTCTAGTTTTTAGAATACTGGACAATGCATAAAGTCCAAAAGCACAGTAATTCTGAGTGTTACACACCGTCATTAGAACCCTCTAGAATCTAGGAGTAAAACTGTGTACACTAATCTGCAGTATGCACATTTTTCTAAAGTGCTCTCTATAATATTGCGTACCTCACTATGTTCCTAAAAGTCATTCACCACAAATACAAGACATTTACTACAAAGATAATCTCACTGCAGATATAATAGTGCAGACATCCAAAAATGACCATCCCTTGTTTGCATACTGTTAAATATATACTGTATCAAAATACATTTCAGATAAGTATTTATCTCAATAAAATCTACAATTTACAATATGAATTTTACGTGTGACACTCTGTTTCTGGGAAAACTGTTAAAATTTCATACTGGCTTCTTTTAAAGTATGGATAACAGCTCTCCAAATCAAAAAATAAATTTTCTGAACAATTTCTGGTGTATGTTACAATCTCTTAGGTTACAATACTCTGAAGTGTATCAGGTTTTGAAGGAACGCACTATCCCAGTCTTCAGGGTAGAAGATTGAGGCAGTATGTTTTTCCAAAACCCTAGTAGCCACTCACCAGTCAACTTGGTGACATAAACCAGAAGATCAGAACATGAATCTTTACCCCTCATGAAAACCATGATTCTTATTTATATGAAATTTTATAAAACTCTTTCAATAGTTTCAGCAACCTACTTCTCCACTCTGACAAGTGTTAGGCCCTATGGTCTGCTACAGTCTTGCGTCAATATCTCAAAATTGCTTCCAGCAATCTTCCAGGATGCATTTTAACATATATAAACTTTGTTATTTAACCAGTTTTATTAACAATCTGTCTTTTAATTTTATAGTTTCATATAAATTCTGTACATTAGAAGAAATAATGTACTGTGGCAGAAGCTTTGTTGTCTTCCACCTTTGGAGTACTCGCCCCTTAATGGACAAGAGGAGAAAACCTATAAAAAGCAGACCCTTGAGTCCAAGGGACAGGGCATCAGAGTTGTGAGGGTAACACACGTAACATGCTGACTGCTTCTGCTCCGACTGACCCCTGTTCTCTATGCTTGCTTCCTTTTATAGACTGGCTGTGTCTGTTTTTGTGGAGAGCATACCGCTTGGAGGAGGTCAAGCAGATTATCACAGTATGGCACCCACTGCACGATGAAGCCAAGAGCTCTGTATATCCATGGCTTCTGAGGTAAAATGTGTAAACAGATGAACAAACAATACCTCGTGTATTTATTTAATGAAGGCAAACTTTGAAAAAAAAATTAATACCATAAATCAATGTTGAATCAATGTATACGAGTATAATAATGTCTTAGTATCTGACACAGTGTACAGAGAATTGGTTCACGTCTGTTCCTATGGCTGTTTTGTGCGACACTTCTGTAACTTTACTACTGTTCATGCCAGCGCCCATTCAGTGACTAAAGAGTTCTTGTTAAAATGCCTAATGCTGAATGCATTTTCTTAAATCATGGGGAATCAACCTATTCAAAATCACAAGGCTCCTGNGTGACACTCTGTTTCTGGGAAAACTGTTAAAATTTCATACTGGCTTCTTTTAAAGTATGGATAACAGCTCTCCAAATCAAAAAATAAATTTTCTGAACAATTTCTGGTGTATGTTACAATCTCTTAGGTTACAATACTCTGAAGTGTATCAGGTTTTGAAGGAACGCACTATCCCAGTCTTCAGGGTAGAAGATTGAGGCAGTATGTTTTTCCAAAACCCTAGTAGCCACTCACCAGTCAACTTGGTGACATAAACCAGAAGATCAGAACATGAATCTTTACCCCTCATGAAAACCATGATTCTTATTTATATGAAATTTTATAAAACTCTTTCAATAGTTTCAGCAACCTACTTCTCCACTCTGACAAGTGTTAGGCCCTATGGTCTGCTACAGTCTTGCGTCAATATCTCAAAATTGCTTCCAGCAATCTTCCAGGATGCATTTTAACATATATAAACTTTGTTATTTAACCAGTTTTATTAACAATCTGTCTTTTAATTTTATAGTTTCATATAAATTCTGTACATTAGAAGAAATAATGTACTGTGGCAGAAGCTTTGTTGTCTTCCACCTTTGGAGTACTCGCCCCTTAATGGACAAGAGGAGAAAACCTATAAAAAGCAGACCCTTGAGTCCAAGGGACAGGGCATCAGAGTTGTGAGGGTAACACACGTAACATGCTGACTGCTTCTGCTCCGACTGACCCCTGTTCTCTATGCTTGCTTCCTTTTATAGACTGGCTGTGTCTGTTTTTGTGGAGAGCATACCGCTTGGAGGAGGTCAAGCAGATTATCACAGTATGGCACCCACTGCACGATGAAGCCAAGAGCTCTGTATATCCATGGCTTCTGAGGTAAAATGTGTAAACAGATGAACAAACAATACCTCGTGTATTTATTTAATGAAGGCAAACTTTGAAAAAAAAATTAATACCATAAATCAATGTTGAATCAATGTATACGAGTATAATAATGTCTTAGTATCTGACACAGTGTACAGAGAATTGGTTCACGTCTGTTCCTATGGCTGTTTTGTGCGACACTTCTGTAACTTTACTACTGTTCATGCCAGCGCCCATTCAGTGACTAAAGAGTTCTTGTTAAAATGCCTAATGCTGAATGCATTTTCTTAAATCATGGGGAATCAACCTATTCAAAATCACAAGGCTCCTGACATCTGAGACATGGTGAAATAACAATTACATCAATGTTGCAGAAAATGCTATCACACAGGCCTGTTCTAAGGCCATTAAGGTAAAAAAAAAAAAAAGGTAAAGCTATCCCAGTAACAGGCCATGGAAGCCCATTGGGTTGTGAGATGTCAAGGCTCCCACATTTTCTAGATAATCGGCTCACAGATGTTGGTGAGGTTGTCAGCCTTATGACCAGTCACCCTTTACCCCCAGGAAGATTCTTGGCACTTATTTCTGTTAGAGGCTGAGTTGACCCCAGGGTCATAGTGCAGCTGGAAAGATTATGTCACTGAAAAATCCAATTACCTCATTTGGAATCGATCCCATGACCTTCTAGCTTGTAGCATAGTGCCTCACCAACTATGCTACCGCATGCCCCTGCTATTAAGGTAGAAACACTATGACTACATTGTCACTTACTAGCTGGTACCAAACTGATAATTCATCTTACTGCTCTCAGGGTAATAAACAAATGGAACTTCGCTGATTAACAGTAGTAACATAAATTAATGTTAATACTGTTACTACAAAATTCACCTATATTACTTTCTGTGTGAAATTCCTATAATAATATTCCTAATACCAGGCTAATCAACTACTGGGTAAATGAAGCTAAAGGATAAAATTTGCCAGTACCAAAGCCTGTCACTGTACATGGTCCTGACCCACATTACACCCTCACCCTCATAACTTATGATCCATTTTAATATTACTATCCTCACACTCCCACCACCCTAAACTGGGTTTCATTAACTGTACTCACAGCACATGCTAACAACTTCAAGGATGTTGCCATCATTGTGAACATTGATACTGTAGTTCAACTGGTCTGACTTGGTGAGGGTTGCAAACTCTTGGGTCAAGCTGTACTCCCCAAGCAAGAAACAACTGGACAAATCACCAGACTCGGAGGTATCCACACATGCCCTACACAAACAGATTTATGTTAGGTTGAAAATACTGCATAAACTGTCTTTACTGTAGTTACTGGTTGGCAAGAAGAAAGAAGGCATAGTTAGTTTGACTTTATCTCTCAGTTGTGTCATATTCTTAGGTTATGTAACATCAAAACCAAAAATGGTTGGAAGAATAAAATATATGACTTTAGGAGGTTTCAGGATGAGACAATTATTATTTCAATGCACTACCAACAGTATTTTGATACATGCCATAAAATACCTTGAAAACCCCCAGTCATGACAGTCACAATTAACGATGAGTAATGAAATGAATGCTAATTAAATATAAAACCTTGATTTGGTTACCAACAAATTATTCCTCTAGAACAGATTTGCCAAAACAAGTCATGACCCTTCCTGGGAGTAATGCAGGATATCTGGGGAAGGGGCTCCAGTGTACAATAAAGAAATAAGAATCACAGAACATGGGTACAGGATACAAAACTGACTGCTATGAGGGCAGCAGCAACATAAAAGAGTTCATAACAGTACAATGTGATTAGGTGACATTATGAATCAAAACCAGAAATTCCTTAAGACATGAGGCAATCTGTGATTCATTACACCATGATTATTTTGGATATTGTCCAACTGCCTGAGATTTCATTTGGCATACATGACATACAGGCAGGCAGTTCTGCTGTCATATTCATTTTATTTATGTTATTATACTGATGGATATTTCTCATTTTTTATCTTTTTGAGGTTCATGGCAATGATTAGACTGAACCCAGATCACTCTGAATACTAAGTTTGTATGCTAACCACTAGTGGTTTAGCAATCAAAGGAATTTGGGCTCAGTCATGCCACCAGTTTTAAAAATAAAAATCACAGTTGATCACTGCACTGCCCAGAAATGAAGAAGCCACCTTCACAGCTGGACTACTTTCTTTATATTGGAACACTGTCCTCTAGAGTCCAAAATAAGCCTAATAGTTCTGTAGTGTCCTCTGTCTTCATTCAAGCCAAGAGGATCTCTCACAGTAATCAAAGATCTGGGGTTCTCATGGCAGTAACTCTGTCAATTGTTGTTTTCTGAGATGTGACACCATATAAACTGGTAAAATGTTGCCACTGCTTCAGAGAAAACTGCTGCTTTCATCTTCGTTGCAGAAGAGTACACAAGGGTAATGTTCTTCCAGACTATATACTGTGCCAAAACCCAAAAGGCAGTAAATCTTCAAGTTAATTTGTTTTTAAGGTGCCAGTTCTTTCACGATTGGACATGAGAGAATAAGACAGGGAACATTTTGGGTCAGAACAGCTTTCAGAGATATGATCCATGAGCTGTAGAGGTGAGAAAAATGATTGTAAATGGATGTGGCATGTAAAAATGGGGATTATCACTACACTCTATTGTAGGGATACAGTTTCTATTTCATGGATTCAAGAAGCTTTATTAACACAGTTGGTTACTAACATAAATCATTCAGTAAATAATATATATGACTGAAGAGGACAGAAATCACAGGTAGTCATTGTAACATTGAATTCTGGGTGTCATTTTAGGTAGTTTTCATGTGACAGAAGTTAGCCTGATTCACTGTTGAACAGAATGAACACGTTTAAATAAGCTTAGACTAGCTTGAGTTACTAAATCTGAATGTACAAGAAATTTAATGCTTCTGATGGACTGTCAGTCTGTGTCAAGCCACAGGTGAGTGTATTATTCTCAGCTGATGCAAGACCTCTTAGTCAGCTGATCTATAACAACATACCCGTAAAGAATCCCCCAAAGAACAATAACACAATGAAATTGTTTGCTTTTTTTGTTCCCTTGACAGTCTTCCATAAAACAAACATTTTATTTGGGTGCATTTACCATTAGACAATTTTATAACAGGGTCTGATAGCCACTTACAGGACAACTGTTTCCTTATAACAACCCATAATATTCAGGGCGTATACAATAAGATGGAAGTCTTAATATTTGTTTTCCCATGGCACAGTGACAGGAATGTTGAGGACAATAACTTTTAATTAATAATTGTGATGGGCCAATTACAAAACACTACAAAATACACAGAAACACCTAGTTAAGGTTTACTTGGGGACTAGTGATTTTAATACTAAACTGAGGAAAGTCTTAAATGGAGGTAACTGATCACTGAATTTACTGACTTTGCAGCACGGCAATTGAACATTAAGTGTGAGAAAACATTAACTCCATGAACATTACATGTCACTGTAATAAACATCAGTCACTTGAAGATAAAAACAGAGTAATCTGCTGAAATGTCATGCACATCAACTGCACCTTAGTAATTGGTCAATGTCCAACATAGCTGTGGTGTAAGCAATCAAAACTTACTATATAAGAGCCAAATTCACAATTATTTGTACATAAATATAGCATACACATAAAATTATGGTAATCTGTTTTACACAGACACATGCAAAGTTTGTGTGGTGTCAGAAACAAAGGGTAGACAGAAAATTGTTCTGGTCCAGTTGATGGTATTAAACATGATGAAATGAACACTTGCCTCCACATCTGCCCATCATGAAACACAACACAATCATACGCTGGTCCCACATCACTGTAATTCTTGTCTAGTGATGTCAGGATCTCAATCTGGGCTTCTAGGTTTTCTTTATGAAGTTTGTCATTCACAGCTGACACTTTAGGGTTCTTAATTTCAAATTCCTATGATAGAAAAACAATTATTTAATAATAATGCATATGGCTCAATAAATACAAGAAACCAGTCACCTAGTATCATTCTGAAGTGATTCTATGTTAATGCAGAAAGACAGACTGTCATCATCAGCATAAAAGTAAGCAGTGATCTGTACAAGTATGACAAGCATAGTCATTTGAAACTGACGACAACCAGTCAGCCTGCATATTACAGAGGCTCCCCTTATGATAAATTAATATAAACACCTTGTTCCAAACATATTGTGCCATATTCGTCGAAAGCTGAAGCATGCTGCTATGCTATGCTATGCTGCCATAAACATGTCTCTGCAATAGGAGTGCAACAGGGAATTAAGGTTCAATTTTTGGGAGGTGTGTGAGATTATTCTCTTTTATATAGAATCCACTAAAAACCCTATCCAATGGGTGCCAGTATCTCTCTCCCTCTCGGTAAAGTGGCCAAGTCATGAAGCTGACCACCCACATTCCAGCTAATGTTAAGGTTAAGAATGTAGACACTGATATTTTCGTTCCTCCATGTATCTTCAAGGGTGTGTGCTTAATTAAGCATAGGGACAACTTTCAAATTATACTTCATTAACTCACCAACGGCCAGCGGTAATGGTATTTCTAAAGCTCTTTTACTAAACTAATAAAAGTATTACCATCTCTACAGGATGCTCTTACTTGCAGTTTTCTAGTGGCTTCTGCTAAGGAGCACTTATGACCAGGATCCCATAGTTTCTCCTTTCTTTCCTTTTCAATCCTTTCTCTCAGTTTAGCAGGGTAGAGATCAAAACCATTTTTAAGACCAATGTGGAAATCCCCTGTAGGATTTTTCCATTTTGTAGGAATCTGTTCATACAAACAAAAATTGTGAAAAAAATACAGCATATATACACCACCTACATAATAAATGCAGCACTACAGTGTTACATTCAAATTATTAATTTAGCATATTTGTAGAAATAAACAGAAAAGCTCTAAAGAAAATAACTACCTACATGGTGCAAGGCCTTCCTTGAGAAGTTGGTATCTGGTCAAGAAATTTCCTGTTTTTAGGAAACATGAAGGTTCATTATTATATTCAGAAAAGCCCACCATTGAACTCTAACCTAAGCAAGCTGCATCCAGTCTATCCCTTAACTACTTCTCTAAGATTTGTTTTAACATTACCCTCTCACTAATCACTACTTCTAAATCACTTCTCTTCTGTTCAGGTTTTCTGATAAAAATGATAGTGCTCAAGCCTTGGATGAGGACTTATCACCTATTACATCCACAGAGCAACTTGGCTGGCATTAGCATTGCCCACTGCTAGCTAACAGTGGAGGGACACTGCCACCAGACCCTCGGGTCACCCTTAACAAGCACTACCCATAGGAGAATTTCATGGGCATGGAATGAGGTATCATTCAAATGACAAAAACATGGCTCTTTGGCTTAACACTGCTTTTTAATTTTACAAATACCCATAAGCATCAACATAGTATTCACCTTGCCATGTGGTATCCCTAACCTGTTACACCCATCACAGCTCATAATATTGTGACATGATGCCTGTAAGCTGCAATCTGCCCATCTGCTGGGTGGGGCTTCACTGAGCATGTTCCCATGGCAACATGGAAAGTGCCACTGGTGGACAGCAACGAATACGACTGCAGAAGCAATGCACTGCATATAAAGTCAAGTCAATTCCCAGGCAACACATACATAAACGTATCTGTTCACAAGGCAATGAACCTCCAAGGCACAGTAACAGCGAAGAATGTGTTAACTCCACTGCTGAAGGAGGTGACCTCCATGCAGTTCGACAAAAACTTTCCTCAGGGAGAGAACCAACCAACAGAAGACAGAATATGACAGAAGACAAACAGAAGTCAGAAGAAGTCAGAAGTGAAGTCTTTATTTTATGTGATGTAGTTACAGTAACCTTTAGAGTGTTATCATTGTTTGTAGTTACAGAGTGTTATAGTTACAGTAAGATTATGTTACAACTAATTGTAGTTCTGCCTGGTGAATATCTAATAAATCAATTTGGAACCCATCAATTACTAGTCACAATACCAGGATCTGTGACCCTATCAACACTGAGTCACACTCCCTGTACTGGTCACACCTCAGCTTCCAGCTTGCTTACTTGGTTGACAGCATAAAGCTGTAACAGCTAACAAGAATCAATGGCTGCAGGCTCACAAGACAGACTCGTCATTGTTCATGGGTACTCCTCATTTCACCTCTCAACTACTCCTTTTTCAGACCCCCATGGAGATATTACTTTGTCCAGCACTGTGGCCAGGGTGCCTAAAGTGTCTGCCTCAAAACCTCTCTGAGCTACTGTCAGACAGCATGACTCAGAAATTTTCCAGTTTACATGAGAGTATGGGTCATAGGACCAAGAAACATTTTCTTCTGTGTTCTTAAAAATTTACAGACTAAGCATGTATGTATCCATCTATACATCAACCTATCAAACTTCCACATTATACCTTCAATACCAAAATTTCCAGATTCTAAACAGGAGGTTTCGGGTGAATAAAAATGTTTACAGTTGGTACACTTATTTCTGAAACATTTCATAGAAGGTGAACAACAAGACCATATCAAGTAACCAACATAACGTTAAGCATAAGGATAACTGATACCTTCAGTTTGCGTCCAGAAAGACCCTGAATTTCTCCATCTTTCACTTTCACAACAGTAGACGTGTCAACATCACCTGCTCCACTGCAGTCAAAACGTTCTATCACTTTTGGCTTTCCTTCACTTGTCTCCTGCAAAATAAATCTAAATATTTCAATCACATGTTCTGCATGGAACTGAAGATGCATAACTTCTTTCAACCATCCATCTCATGCTTGGTTACAGTTGGATTATATAACAAATTTCACACCAAAAATGTTATGTTAAGATTTTCTTGTGCCCAGTACCATGCCAGAAAAGTAAATAAGGGGCATGGAGGTAGAGCACCGCACACTCTTAAATTCAGTAATAAATGAAGATCAGTGATCATCTTTGCAATGGGGAAAGCACCCTTGAAATCTGACAGGAAGTAGATATTCTGGGTATTGTCATGAAGGGAACTGTTCCAATACCTGTTTGCAAGAATCAAACACTAGTCGCGTCATTATGACCAGTACTTTGTAATAAACATGAAACAGCCACAGTCATCCTACTTTTTGCTACTCAGATACTGCTGATAAATTATTTGAAAAAAAAAAAACAACCTTGTGGAGTACCTTATACTCCAATCAGCTAATTAGTATTGGTACTTGGCACTGTTAGTGCTGCTATTAGGACTGGAGCAGAAAACTAACTAAGCAACACCCTTGGTAATCAGTGTGTTATATTTGTATTAAAATTCAGCAACAAACTGAAAATGTACTGATGAACTTCACTAAGTTTGAAGAAGCTGTACGGATTTTATCATTATTTCCCACTGAGAATGTGACAACTGAAGCATATATCTAGATTTCTCAAAGCAATATAAAGAAGTTTCAGCACAAAGTAAAACAGGTGGCCAGCAAAGGTGGTGCTCTCTTTTCGCATTTCTGAAAGACTGAAAATATGTCACAGAACAGCCAGATAACATCAATGGGGGACTGCTTTCACTGTTTCCAGGAGTTTGCTGCTGAAATTGATTTTAAATCTGTTTACATGTTGAGTTTTCTCTTGGAATACTTACAAAACTCCCACTTTCTTTCAATATGAACTATTTCTGCATAGGCTACATGATTCAATTGGATGTCAAGAACGCAATTTCATTACTGGAATTATTTAAACATGGTCAAGGTGAATATGAAGAGAAATTTGTAGCAATGATATCCCTGAAAGGAATGTATGGAGATTACATAAAGTGATTTGTACTCCAAGGTCTTCTATCAGATCAGTTAAAGAAAATATGTTTCTACAGGCAGTAAAATGCTTTTGAATCAATAAACAGCTAAAGGTCCACCTTGATTTTTGATAACTTTGCCTGGCAAACAGGAATCACTGACAAAGGAAATGCTGTCAGTGAGGGAACAGAATTGGCTTAGCATTTTAAGAAACAACTTTCACCACAAAACAAGAAAGATTATGGTATACAAGCTCTAAGTGACGAGTAACTTTAAAGTCCTGTGGAAGGGAGTGATTATGAACAAGCTGCCAGACTTAGCACTGGCTAATACAAAAGGTTCTCAGTACTAGAACAGTCGCTTTCCATAGTGTCTGTGCAGCTTGTCCACACACTGTGCTGCAAAAGAGGATTCAGTTTCTTAAATCCTGTCAAAAATAAATTCAGAGACTGTCACTACCACAGGAAAGATTAGTTAACATGGGGCAATGCATAACATGAAAGGACATCAGAGATTGAATTTGAACTTGCAAAGGCTGTGAAAGGATGTGGACCAGTGATACTTTGGTTCCAAAACTTCAAGGCATGCATGGCCACACAAAGCCAAATAAGAAACAGCAGTAATAATTGCACAGTTTCCTTCTTCTTTTACAGTGGAATGTAGCTGTGTGAATTCTTTTCATTGCAAGAAATTGTGGGAAGAACTAACTGCCTGCTTTCCTCTGATATGACATACCATGAAAACATGCAGATGAGTAAAAGCAAAGCTCCTTGCATTCTTAACCTAAGTATTAGATAGAAATATGTGATCAGTTTTATGTAGTGGGCAATTTTTATCCTTCAAAGAAGGGGCCCTGATACCCACTGGACAAGGGGTTGAGTAAACCCCAGAGCAGGTATGGACATTGTGGTGAAGAAATACATAAGTCCCTGCCCCAGTCAGAAACCGAGGCCTTGTCATCCATGCTGTAGCTATTCACTTAACTGACTGAGCTATATTAATTCATCTTAATATCATGACATAACAGCTGAAAGCTAGAAAGAGTAGAATGAGTACAGATGTTCATTGCTAGGCAGAGGCACAGTAAACACATTTCTGAAGCTATAGATACTAACACAACAACAGAAGACACAGTATTTTACATGCAGCCATCGCTATGCAACAGCATGGTAAACACTTTTCCACAACAACAAATCAAAGTGCAATAATAGAGGAACTATTGGAAATAGTGCTTTCTGTGTGGTCTCTGCCAAGGCTATATAACAAAGACCAATAGGAAAAGTCAGTCAGTTTCAAAATCTCTGGTCATGGGCCTCAAGGGGCCTGATGCCAAGAAAAATTGATTGGCTGTAAACCACTAGTCGTAAAGTAACTCGTAAAGTAAATCAGTCAATAGAAGGTCAGAGTTGGCCGTTAGTCTGTCATCAGTTGCAAGCGAGCAGTAGTAGTTTATGGGTGTATGTGAGGAATCTCCAATGTTAGCAGCCGCTACCTAGAAACAACTAGTAATGAGAGAATAACAAAGAGATGATGTGTGTGCTGAAGTTGTAATGATATGTAGGATGTGTAAATTAGTGAGGATGTTATACTCATTTGTGGTTAGGAGTCATAAGCATCCCATAAATCCTATTATCAATCAAAATCCAATCTCCTTCTAGTTCTTTAAAGTGGAATGTTTCCAAGAGGTTCCCCACCCCAAATTCTGTTATGTATTTTTTGTCTTGCCATCAGAACTGCAGGCTTAACCCACTGTAACCTCCATGATTTTATCATCCTACTAATACTGTGCATGCTGTATAAATCTCAAAGTTCCCTGTTATGTAATATGAACATTACATTTCATAAATAAAAAAGAAGTACTCATAAGCATGATGCAAGGTTACATGCTATTAAGGCAAACAAGGTTTCTATTATCTGTTTCTTCTCAAACAACATTTTAGCAGGTGTCTGTGTCTTTACTATTGTTCTCAGTGAGCCAACTTATCCTTCTTCAAATAAGCATTCCACCTTCTTTGTAATAAAGGTAAAATAGTTTAGGCAGAGACAAAAATAGTAACTGAGCAATCCCACACACTGGACTCAACCAAAGTAGTTCAAAAGTAACTACCATACTCACAAATAAAAATAGTCATGACCACCAACTCCATGGAGCAGGGTCCGTCTTGAGAAGCTAATAGCTGGTTACCTGGTCAAGATATTCCCAGCCATTTATGGAATCAAAATATTAATTACCTTTGTAAGATTTGAGGTTTTCACAGTGGTCACTATGAAGAAAGCCGTCTTCTGAGATGTGGCGCCTCTCATCTGTTCCCTCAAGTAACCTCTGAAATACGGCAGACCCTATAGGCCACTCAGGTACATTGCAGCCCCTGAGCTATAGGGTTAATGCCCTCCATTTAACCTTCCATTCTCCCCCTAACACATACTCTATACCAGCTCTGGCCCACTACCTGCTGGCTATTCCACCAGACCCTTCCCCTCCCCCTCTATACTATTTCCCTATGTAGCCACACTCCTTCTCTTATACAGCTGTGTTTACTCCACTGGATTCAGTCTGTTGCACCTACTCTGCTGGTTTGCTCGTGGATTTCTTCTTGTCTTCTACCTTGAAGATGGTGATACGTTCCTCCGAAACGTTGGTTAACACAATTTCTACACGGTGCCACACCCCAGAAGACGGCTTTCTTTTTAATTACCTTGTACACTAGAGCCCAGCATTAGTTCCTATCCTAAGCCACATGAATCTACCCTCATATATATTTCTTTACATCTCATTACAACATTACCATCCCATCCATCCCTAGGTCTCATGTCGTTTCTTCCCTTCAGATCTTCTAACCATGATTTATGCCAGTATTTTTCATCCTTTTCTTCTGCACTGTATGCCTCACCCATTTAATTCTACTTGATTTGATCATCCTTGTAACAAAACAGCAAAGAGTACAAATTATAAAGTTCTCAGTATGAAATTTTCTCCACCCTGTTGTTACTTATTCCCATGAAACTAGTTTGTTTATTAAAATGTATTTACATGAAACTTGTAGTAAAGTACGTACAGACAAAAATGTGTCTAATGCATTTCCCATTCAGAATGTTATCAAACAAGGAGATGTTTTATCATCATTACTTTTCAACTCTGCTTTACAATAAGCTATTAGGAAGGTCCAAAAAAAAATTGGGACAGAAATTGAATGGTACACATCAGCTTCTAATCTACTTTGATCTTAATTTATTGAGGGAAAATATAAACAGTGCAAAGAAAAAACAAGTTCTATTACATGCTAATATGGATGTTGTCATAGAAATGAATGAAGAGAAAACTAAGTATAAGCTGATGTCTTGTCAGCAAAATGCAAGACAAAGTCAAAACATAAAGTGGCTAACAGAGCCTTTGAAAATGACAAAAATCAAAATGATTCATGTGCAAATTAAGAGTATGTTAAATCTGGGTAATTCTTGCCAATATTCAATTCTGATTCTTTTGTCTTCTTACCTACTATATAACTCCACAAAGATTGAAATATACAAAATTATAATTTGCCCATAGTTTTATATGATTGTGAAACCTGGCCTTTCACATTAAGAGAACACATTGCGGACTCAGAATTACTGGGTTTTTTAGAGTTTGCCCATTGTCCAGTATTCTAAAAATTGGAAAAAACAACATTTTGGAAACTGATCCAGTGATTGAGGTTACCTCTTTCTAAGGAACTCAACAGAGTGTCTCCCCACCTTCCTCACCTGAAAACAGACGCAGATCCAGTTTCTGTAACATTACATTTTCTAGTTTTTAGAATATCAGATGATGGGAAAGTCCAAAAACCTGGCAATTCTGAGTACTATACACAATTATCAGAACCCTTTTGATTCTACACTGAGGATGTTTACAAACAGGCTACTGAGGAGGGCTGATGTAACAGAAAAAAATTGCATAATGAGGAGCTTCATAATTTATACTGCTTGTCAAATATTACAAAAATGATGAAATCAAGGAGCATAAGATAGGTATGATATGTAGCAAACATGTAAGAAAATTTCTTACAAAGTTTTAGTAAGAAAACCTGAAAACCCAGACATACCATATTCCTTGAATTATAACATCTTCATTTCTTCTCCGTTTCGTTACATTTTAATTTTGTTTTTAACAATTATTTTTGCTCATTATGATTTTATTTCATTAAAGTATTATTTACACATTTCAAAAAATAAAACGTATATGAAATATATAAACTAAAAACGATAATAAACATATTCTTAATCTTACACTAAACTGATTAAGAACGATAGGAGGATAATATCAAAATAGATTTTAAAGATAAGGGTTAGGCACAATAGATCACTGTGGTCGCGGTGCAAGGGCCAAGGAGGCCCACCCCTTATACATTCATTCAAGATAAGGGATGGGAGGGTGTGGACGGTCAAAGGACGGACAAGTATCAGGCCTTCCTGAACGTGTCAATGCACCTTCGGATTCCGTAAAGTTCTGAAAATTTCTTGAGCAGCTGAATAACTATTTGCTTCAAAAGACTGGCTCAGCTCCATGAAATTGGTTAGTTAAAATATATCATACTTTAAGGAACCACGGCTTCAGCAACCTGCGAACGTCATTGTCATGGCAAAGGACGGTTACAAAGCAACAATACCTTTAAACCTGGCGCTCCCGGGTCAACACCTGAATCAAAAATGGCTATCGTAATTCCTCTGCCATCATAGTCCGGATATTTAGTTAAAAATGCGGTGACACCGGTTTCTTTTTTGGGCAAAAGGCCCCAAACTGGAAATTCACAGTTAACAACCTCCGCCATTCTGCTACAAAAAAAAAATCGTGCCGTATCAGTATGCACTCTTGCGTTAGAACGCCAAACTATATTACCGTAGCCAACGAAAATAGAACACTAGCAACGAGAACAGAAATTTCTAGTTATACCGTATTTACGCATGTATAGGCCGCACATTTTTTGCCAAATATTCAAGAGGAAAACTGGGGTGCGGCTTATATTCGAAATATTCGAAATCACACTTCATTTAAAAAAAATTATATTCATAATTAGTAATACAGGATGTTCTACTCCTGAAATAATATTCCAAGAAAATTATTTTTTCTATAATATCTGTCTGAAAATTGTGCTGCGGCCTATACATGCGTAAATACGGTAATTTATGTAACAAAAATGCAAAGCAGAATTTGTTAGGCTCCACACTGCAGAGTACATAGTGTAGACAGGTACAGTTGTTACCCGTGGATACAGTGTTACCACATTATTTAACTGAGTCGGAAATTGAAGGATTGTGCTGCAGGAGAAGAAGATGTGGTTTGAAATCATACCTAGTTTTGCTATTATTACTGTAGCATTGGCTGTCCCTGGCGTTGTAAAATATTTCGGACATCAACTGATTTTTGGTAATGTACGTATAACTGGACGCTACGAAAACGTAAATTTACTGAAAGGGTTATATTGGCTTACTCCGAACAGAAATATTAAATATACGAGTGAATGCCTGAGTATGTTTAATTTTGTGCTTTACATATCTCATTGTTAGAGGCGATATTAAATACAAGAATGGTTACGAGTGTATTAAGGGATACGATTGTGGCCAGTTTTAAGGTATTTTTATTTTTACATCCGTTTGAAAATACCGAACAGAGAACAGTTTCGATCACGGTATAATCCTTGTTGCGGTGACCTCTAAAACAATGTATAGGTGTTAATATGACGTATTTTATAAGAATTTTACCACTTTTAATATATCGCAAGGTTATAAGTGAGATGACAACTCATTTATTGTTCCAGGCAAACATACGGGATAAGACGAATAGGTGGGAGCGTTATATGTACCAACGTGATGAACGGCTTACGGGAGATCCATACAAAGCCAATGTTAGTAAAATTTCAAAGAAAGTATTTGTATATTTTATTATGTTGCTATGTAAATATATCTAACCACACATACTTATCCCAAACTTCTAGCAATGTACACTAATTTCACTTTGTTTTGGTTTCAGGGTCTTGAAGCCATTCCTGATGAGTGAAAATGTTTCATTATGAAACTGATATTCTAGAATAGAAACTGCAGTATCATGGAGGACTGGCATTGTTAACATTTGTACAAATAACTAGAACATTAATGTTACACTACCAAAATCTTATGCCAAAAATAACATTACTGACAAAAATACGTGTCTTAACAAGATACTGAAGTTGGCAGTGTCTGTTCTGATATTAATGTATAAAAACTGCTGGAGTAGAAATATTGTACAAAATTTAAAAATTGATCTGTTATATTAAGAAAATAAATTATGCACTGCATACATATAAAATGTTTTATTTAAACAAAACTGGACTATGGTATAGAACTGCAGACTCAGATGAAGAGTCTGATACAAACAGGATGAAACTGATAAATAAATGGCAAGCTGCACATTGATACAACTGAGAACACTGCACATCACAGTAGGTTTCTGTTTCAGTAAGCATGTTGACATTGATATATGTTTCAGCATGCTCTTCTAGATACCACGGGATCTTATGCCTGACTGGACACTGGTACATGCATCATGATCATTTGATGCTGAAGCATATCTCAGAACCTGCCACTCATGTTGCAGTCTGCATAATGAAATGTGTATTGGTACTTCTGTGTACGTAGTTCAGAAGTTGGGTAGAAGTTTTTCTAAAACCACATTTGTAGATTGCATCAGATTTGAATGAGGCAGTAGTATCCTTTTTGAATCACCTTCTCGTGAAGTGTTGCCAACTGACATAAAACAAAGATGTACTCAAATGTATACAGTCTGTAAAAAAATATATGTTACGACATTCTGTGGTAGATAGATGGGTTCAGTCTGATCATATTTTGTTAATATACCAATGTCCAGTAATGCTTTGTTTGTGTGTTAAGGCCTCTGAAATTTGAAGGAGGACGCCCTTACCTCTTACCCTTTGTGGCTTACTGGTGACATTTATATAACATTTCTCCAAGAAACCTTACCAGAGCTGCTGGAAGTGGTGCCTTTGGAAGTCTATCTTGAAATATGGTTCAAGCATGATGGTGCCCTGGCACACAGCACTAATATCCAATATGAGTATTTGGATGAAACCTTTGGCAACAGAAGGATTGGTTATGGAGGTCCAATAACCTGGCCCCCTCACTCCCCTAACTTGACTCAATTGGTTTCCTTTCTCTGGGGGTACATGCAAAGCCTGGTGTACGAGATTCCAGTGGAAACACTACATGATCTTGTGGCAAGAATTGCAGTAGCAGCTGGAACCATTCTGGAAATGCCAGGAATTTTTCAAAGAGTTCGGTATAACATAACCAGGCAGTGCAGAACATGCAGTGAAGTTGGCGGCCACCATTTTGAGGTTGTTCAGATTTCATTTTCTTCATCTTGATAAACAAATTGCAACACTCGAAGACATAACAAAAAGAGAACCTCATTAATAATGATTTGGAGAGAAAGCAGTTGTGTCACATTTTAGGGTTTAACCCAGTGAGCTGAGGAAACTTTAAAAAATGTGCTATAAAGCTGTTTTATACTTGAAATTTCAATGGATACTTCCCAGTAGCATGTCATTTTCATTATTGCCCTGATAATTAAACTAAGTTATGAAACATGGGACTCAGTATTTTCTAGTGATGATGTTACTCTAATATAATGTTTAACTCCATTTTAGACATTTGCTTGAAAATTTACTATTCCAGTTTTCCCGCCCCCCCCCAAAAATTAAAATTTCAAATAAGTGGAATATTCATTGATGACACAATGAGCTGGAAATACCACATCAAGTATATTAGTTCAAAACTAAGTGCAGTCTGCTGCATAATAAGATCGCTTAAATCATACATGTCCATAAATACATTAAAAACGGTTTATCACTCTTATTTTAATTCAATTATAAATTATGGTTTATCCTTTTGTGGTAACTCACCCCAAAGTATAAAAATTTTTAGAATGCAAAAGAATATAATTAGAATTATATTGGGACGCAGAAGGAGGGATTCATCATCATCATCATCAGTAATCTGTCAAGACGACAGGTCCACAGTCTCTTTCAAAACAATTCCTCCACTTAATGCGATCTAGAGCTTTCTCCTTCAAATGACAGTATCCTCNATAACAGATAGCAAAATAATCTTCATCAGACTCTTGTAAATTTGAGTAAATACCAAAAGGGAGTTTACTGTTTAGGAACAAAGGTCTATAATAATCTACCACAACATATTAAGGATATATCGAGTGACACTAAGAGTTTTGAGGTACAATTAAAACAATTTTTATATTTACATTCTTTTTATTCTTTACAGGAATATTTTGGTTATAAATCTTTTTAAGATGCGAGTAGTTGTCTTGTTTTACAATTAAAAGAAGACAAGATTGTCAGTCTGCGTTCTGGTTTTTAGATGCTTATTTTAGATATTCACAATCTTTATATTACTGTATACTAGTCTTTATTTCACTTTATTATATAATTAATGTATGTTATACAAAACTCATTAATGACATTGTGTTTTAACTGTTGCACTTTTAATTAACAGACTTGTATAAATCTGTACAAATTGTATAAGGTTTGCCATTACTTTTGCTACTAAAATTAACTCATTTATTATATTGTATATGTTTATCAGTATTTTATTACAAATGTGTATGCTATTGGATGACAACTGTAAGTCTTAGTTGTGACTGTAACTAGGATCCACATGAGAATGTACTCTCGACAGGATTTATGGAAGGTGAATAAATGAAATGAAATAAAATGTATTGACGATGAAGATGAAAGTAGCAATAAGATGTGCATAACTAAAATGTTTATGTTCTCTGCTGTAGGAACTGCAATTTTGAGTAGAATGTTAGAATGTAGGGCCAGAGAGTCAAACTCTGGCACCCGAAATGTAAACTGTAACAGGCCTAGTATAGTATTCAGGTACTAAAGTGTTAAAGTTCTTACACTATAATTCTTAGAATACATTTTCACATTATTTTCTCATCTATATGTATGTCTCCAAAGTGGCCTTTTCACCCAAACTTCTCTAACAAAAATTTTATAAGCGTTTTCCATTTCCTACATGCCTCTCACGACCAGTTCATGACTTGACCACTCATAATTTGAAAAGATTCAATTATGAAGCTCCTCATTGTGTATTTTCATGCAGTCTGCTGATACTTCATCTTACTTATGTCTAAATATTGTTACGTAATCAGGGTTTGCATGACTAATAACAATGGGTCCTGAATTTGATGATTGGATTTATTGGCACTTCTTTACAGTAACAGTCAATTATGACAGCTCACAGTCAATGACTGTCTAATGCTTGCTCCATTACTTACTGGACTATGAGTGTCTTCCCTTCTGCATGACTGACTTGGTTCTGATTGATGAGTCAGCCACTTCTTCAGCTTCGTTTATCTGTTGGTTAACACTTCACAGCTGAATACTCAACCATTGAACTGCCTTCTTCATTATCTTGCTGAGTCTGAGTTTTATATGATGACAGACGGTCAGCCAGCCAGTCTGTCATGGAATAAAGCACCCATCTGGGGCTTACAACCAGGTTTTTATTACTGTCAGACAGTTTCGTGTTTGTTGATGTGGGGTGCTATCTCTCTCAGACAAGGACAGGTCTATCGTTTACAATTGCTGCTGGCCCTCCCCAGTGCAGTCGTTGTCAGGTTCGAGTCTTGTGGGACTACAAACCTTGTTTTACTGTCTCAGATTCAAGACCTGCCTTTTCTTTGCCTCCTACGGCTCTCAGGGCTACAGTGGAGGTATTTAACCCTGCAAATGAATCTGGGACGTTTATAAATTTGAGAGAACTGACTAGAAATTATTGCTTGTCATAAACACATTATCTTGGAGTCATGCATGAGGCATTGCCTAGCAAAATGGATAATTCTCTGTCTTGCTCCACTATTCCAGCTTTTAGGTGGTATTTACTGAGCCATTGCCTAGCAAATGGTCAAATTCCATCAAAGTATTTTTCTTTCCACATTGTTGGTGAACACCTTCAGTCTACATTCTTCCATTATATGTGAAATTCCAACTTTCTTATCATGATGACAATGGCAAGTATTCAACAGGAAGTAATGGTGTTCAAGGGGGGAGAGGTCATAAGAAGGAAGACAGGCATTAAAAGAGAAGTGTTTAATAAATTTAATATACTTCTCTCGGCAGCAAATTCTTATTTTCATTACTGAAATTCACTGGAAAACATGGAAAATTTTCTGTCAAATTCAGATGTATGCAATGTAAACACAGTACATAAATATAACCTCCATATGACATGCTAACTTCATAAGATGACAGAAAATACTGTATTTTAAGGAATAAAGTTGGTCAGTAATTTTCCATCTACCATTGAAATTTTAAAATATGAAAGCATTTAAGTCCATATTAAAAGATTATCTCTTATCTCATTCCTGCTCCACAGAAAAATATATTTTTGTTGGAAACCTGTACACACTGTACTGTAACTTTTCATAGTTATGATATTTCCTTTGGCATAATTATCCTACTTTGTATGATGTGATATTCTTGTAAGATGTACCTGTAAATAGTAGCTGTAACGATTATGTATTTGTATTTAATTACTGTATTTATATTGAATATTGTTTTGTGACATATTGTGCACCCTTAGCTTAGTCCTATTAAGGATCTGTGGAAAATAAGTAAATACTGGTTTTAATTCAACTTCATTTTCTTAGCTGCAGATATTCTCCTCATTACCATGCTCTAACACTGAATAAATGTTCTTCATTTAAAAGCAATCAAGAAAAGGCATCTTATTGTTTGAGCCTCTTCTAAGTATGAAATCCATCAAACAAATATTTACCTATCATGGGTTTAATTTAATCCTTTAAAGAACACCGGTAACTTTGTGAATTAGCATAATTTGTTTCATAGATATATGAAGTTCAGTGAGGATATTATACAATACTGCTATCCTGAGTCATGTGCTCTCTTATCTCCTTTTATACTTCCATTTTGCTCCAGTATCTGTAAAGTAAAAAGTAAAAGTAAAGATATCCCTGTAACAGGCCATGGAGGCCCATAGGGTTGAGAGATGTTGAGAGTCCCACATTATCTACACAATCAGCTCAAAGATGGCGATAAGGTTGTCAGCTTTACGTGCCAGCCACACATTACTTCCCAGGAAAATTATTTAATTAATTCCTGATACTCATTTCTGTTAGAGGCTGAGTGAACCCCAGGGCCATAGTGCAGCTGGAAGGGTTAGGTCAATTGAAAAAATCCAATGACCTCATCTGACAAATACAAAAATCTGACAGTAGTTGAGCAATTACACTAAACTCCACACCCACTCAAGATCCCAAATAATTTTTTTCTATTTATGGAGTAAATTTTCAAAGAATATGCAAAACTTTATTTGTATTCAATATTCCACAATAATTATCACAGATTTATCACTTCAAAGGTTTATGCTAGAAGATTTCTTCCACTGCTTTGGCAATTCTTTCTTTTTCATGTAGAATCAATAAGTGTGTCTCAGAACCTACTTTTTTACTGTTTTAATATGTTGCATTGAAACATCTACAATTACAGTAGTTTTCAATATTATATTTAAGCATCCTGTTGCACTCCATACGAT